TTTTTAAGGGTTTCTTTCCCCCGGATTTGGGGGGGGGGCCCCCCCCCCCCCCCCCCCCCCCCTTTACCCGAATCTTGTTTGTGCGCGAAACCGTGCGGTGTGGTGCGGCACATTAACGGTGCGGTGCAAGCAGATCGAAGAGGGTCCTCAAGTTCCACGTCTTGGTGACCACCTACGATGACGTCATCAGCGACGCGGAGATGCTGGCCCAGGTCCCCTGGTGAGAGCCGAGAAAACCGATGATTGAATGGTTTTGTTCTTCTGAAGTTTCTTTGGCTGCATTCAGCGGCGGTGTTGGCACCGAGATGGTGGGCGGGATTATATCTGGTGGTTTTGAGTACCAACATCTGTATCCGGACGAGAGGGTGCTTGGGCTATAGCTGCGGTGTTGGCAGTGAGTGACCAAGCAGGCCGCAGTGGTGGGCGGTGCACCACGGCTCGTCTGCCCGTTTTGAAAAGTTGCTCCGCGCTGTTTTAAGCGCTTGCTTTTTTTCTGTTTTTTTTCTCTTCAGTGCTCTGGTTATATGGATTGTGCCCTGTGGTGGTCGACGAGGCCCACTGATCCCCGTACCCCACCCCAAGAAAGAAATATATATATATTTGGAAAACCTCTGTGCGTATTCTATAGGCGTGCCGTGGTGGTGGACGAGGCCCACCGCATGAGGAACAAGAATTCCGCCCTCCTGGGCTGCCTCCAGCAAGTGGTTCACAACGGCATGGCCGTCAACGCCTACCAGCACCGGGTCCTGATGACGGGGACCCCGATGCAGAACATCAAGGAGGAGCTGTGGCCCCTCATGAACTTCATCGACCAGTCCAACTTCCCGGACCTGCAGAGGTTCCAGGAGAAGTACTGCAAGGGGGAGCCCGGGCATGAAGTCGACGAGGTGTGTTATGTTTTTGTTTGTATTAGCATCAACCGCGCTATAACCGGCTGACCAATGAAATGACGTCAGTCTCAGTGCGACTGAAAACAGAAAATGATTTGTTAAAGGGCCACCTCTGTTGTCGCTTGCTCGTCTTCATCAAATCGCCATGGTAGCTTGTGTGCGTTGTTTTAGTCTGTGAGGCGAATGCATCGCTGCGCCTTCTCTTCATGGACGTTTTTTTTCTCGAGACTTTGGAGGCTTGGGAAGGAATTCCTAGGACCAAGAGAGTGGCTAGACATTGCGAAGAGCACTAACCCCCCCTCGCTGCGCTTGGACTGCAATGATCCTCGCGGTTGTGCCGTTTTTCCATCAGGCGAGGGCGCTGCGCCGCCGCCTCAAGCCCTACATGCTGCGGCGTCGGAAGGAGGACGTGACGAAGGACATCCCTCCCAAGGAGGAGACCATCATCGACGTCGAGCTCACCATGGTGCAGAAGAAGTACTACCGTGCCATCTACGAGCGGAACCACTCCGTCCTCAACAAGGTTGGTACCTTGCAGCAGCAATGCGCCATTGATCTAGCTACCTTGCGTTTTGTTTTGGTCAGGCGGTGTCGATATCTTTGGTAAGGTTCTGTGTTTTTTTGTTTGGGGTTTGTTGTCATTGGCGCCCGTGCGTGCGATTTAGGCGGATTTTCTGCACTGTTTTTTTTTTTTTTTGGCGCTCACGCGGGCCATTTCCGTCTCTATTCTTTGTGTCACTCTCTTATCTCTATGTTGGAGATGATTTTTGTCGTTTTTTTTCTGTGAGAGGTCGTTCGACCACTTCGTTTATCCGGCAAGATACGAAAGATGTGCAGAGTCGTTGGAATTTTTTTCTTCATGTGAGATGTTTGGCGCTGTTCACTGCTGTGCGTCACAAATGGTGGACGGGGACTAGAAAAGAAGGCTTGCCGCGACGAAGGGTGACCTTCATCATACTCCGCGTACAGTAGGCATGCAAACATAACACCCGGTAGAGGAACGCCTGAGCGGTCCATCCCATCTCATCCCACCCCATCCCATCCCATTCCATCCCTCGTCTCATCCCCTTCCCTCTCGCGACGGAACCAAAGGTGGGAGCTGGCGCGGGCAAGGCGCCCAGCCTGATGAACATCCAGATGGAGCTCCGCAAGTGCTGCAACCACCCCTTCATGGTGCGCGGGGTGGAGGACCACGAGGTGGACCAGATCGTCGGCAACCTCATGGCGGAGGCACAGGCGGGGGTGAGTATTTTTTGCCGTTGTGTGCGTGCCCCTCTTGTTTTTGTTGTGTTGTTGCTGGTGCTCGCTTGTTTTGTGGTCGTGTCAGAGCAGAGCAGGCAGAGGCGTGTAGGTGTCTGTACCAGTTTTTGTGTATTGTGTGTGTTTTTTTTCTTTTGCGGGCGTTGCTCGATGGGGCTGTTGTGGCAGCCCTGGCATACTGCAGAGCCAGCACTAGTTGTGGCTACCACCTCACCGTCGGTTGTGTCGCTGCTTTTGTCTTCTCGCAGGACCCCAATAAGGCGTCTGAACGGCTGAACCAGCGCGTGCTCAAGCAGCTCCGACTGGAGAAGGGCCTCATCCATACCTCCGGAAAGATGGTCCTGCTCGACAAGCTGCTGCCCAAGCTCAGGAGTGAGGGCCACAAGGTATAGATATATATATATTGCACCTTTTTTTTTTTTTTTTGCGTGGTGTTTGCCTACTCACGAGGGTTCTGTTTTTTTCGACCCACCCCGGAGATTGATTTCGGTCCGAAAAATTCGCCAGAGGTTGCCTCGCTAGTGGCTTGCTGCAAAGAGCACACTGCCTCGCATTTATTTTGTGGGTTGGCGCCGATTATCGCTGCTTGAAAATATTCTCGCCGCGGAACGGAGGGAGGGTCACTAGATGGATCAGTTTCGTGTCGCCGGCGCACGCAGCGTATTGCCGCAGATTGTGTCGAACCAACAAGGGCGTCGACAGGCGGTTCACAGCGGCGGGCCCCCTTGTTGCTGACTTGTACAGGTTCTAGATGGGATAGTCGCAGCTCTTTAGGCTCTTTTTTCGTCATTTCCGGTGTTGTTTTTTGCCGAAATGTCACACTGGACCATTGGGGTCACGGTGTTGGGAGTTGGGAAGGGAAGCACACTAGTTCTATATAGTTGTGTTGGGTGGAATGCGGTCTAGTCTTGTGAATTCACTCCTGTGATGCATTCACTCCTTTGATGCATTCACTGATTTGATGGATTCACTCATGTGATACATTCACTCCTCTGATACGCTAGACAGTGCGTTGCCTTCTACAATTAGGCGATGCAGTTTTTCATTCCCTTTCTCTCTCCCGAATTCACTCGGGACTACACATGACGATTTGACAGGTGCTGATCTTCAGCCAGTTCATCGGCATGCTGGACATGGTGCAGGAGTTCCTCTCATTGCGAGGCCACAAACACGAACGCCTGGACGGCCGCACCACCGGCAACGAGCGTCAGAAGTCCATCGACAGGTAGATACAATATGTTCGCATCAATGCATGATATCAAGAGGGGGTACGGATATGGAAGTATCGGGGGGGTGAGGGTCGGCGCCCGAGCAGCATAGGAGAACGACGAGCCAATTGAAGTGTAATGTCAGGAGCGGAAGGACATGGCATGGTGGGGGGGCTGGTTGCGGAAGTGCAGAGGAGGATAAAGGGTCGGCGGCGAACATCGTTTATGCTTTGTTGTCTTGTCGTAGTTGCTGGTTTTCTTTTGCCTCAGCTACCGTTGATGCTGATGGTAGTTCGCGGTGTTTTCAGTAGGTTAGGTGATCACCGCCGACGGCACACGATGTGTCGTAGCTGCTGTCTCTTGTGTTATAGTCGGGAGGTAGGAATCCAGCGACTAGATTCACTCACGAACGGAGCGTCTGGACTTCTTTTTTGTTTCGCCGACCTTTTGGCACCCCCCGCACCACCACCGCCACGACCTCGCCATCCAGGTTCAACCGCGACCCGAACAGCTTCGTGTTCCTCCTGTCGACGAGGGCCGGCGGCGTGGGCATCAACTTGACCGCCGCCGACACGTGCATCATCTACGACAGTGACTGGAACCCGCAGGTGTTGATTGATATATTTTTGTAATGAATGTATGGGTGTACTTGACTGTAGTTGTGTAATGAATATATGTGTAATTGAATATATGTATGTAATGAATGTAGGTGTGTGAATTAGAGTGTCTGCGATGTGAGATGGTTTGCGTTTTTTGCGTTTTTTGCCGGGGATCACGTGTTGTGGACGCTTGAGTGGTCTATCGCGTGCCGCACATGCGCGTCTCCAAAGTGCACGGAGGGAAGGCGGATATCCAGACGAGCAGATTTACTCCTCTGTTCGTGGAACACATGTATGTGTGTGCTTGTATTTTTTTGCCGACGTGCTGTCAAGGTTCCCGCCCAGGGGATGTTTCTATTTCTTTTCTCATGAACGCATCTGTTTTTTTACGAAAGTTCTGTGTTTACTGTTTTTGACTTGTTCTGTGGAATCCCTTCGTTTGTGGTGTCAGAACGACGTCCAAGCCATGGCCCGCTGCCACCGCATTGGCCAGACGAAGAGCGTCATGGTCTACAGGCTCATCACCAGGGACTGGTGAGCCCTGCTATTTACGTTGTTGTTATTGTTGTGGGGGTGGAGCCACATCATTCCGGCAGGCAGAGTGAGGACAGACACAGCATCTCCGCCTGCTACTACTGCTACCTCTGCTGTGGTGCAAGTGTCGTGCTGATTGGCTTATCCGTTTCAGGGTTATTTTTGAGGTCGTTCGATATGTTGTTTTCTTGCTTAGTGTTGTGTTCTTCTCGGCGCAGGCAGGGCCTTTTTCCCGTCAAGGTTCGTGTTATGCTCAGCTATGCGCACGCTTGGCGTCAGATCCTTATTCGCGGTTCTTGGACCGTTTGCCTCGAACGTTCTGCGTCGCACGTTCTCCGATTCTCGTATCCCCCTCTCTCTTATCCCTTGTACGGGGCATGTCGTCGGGGCCAAAAACACAACGGATATCCGATGAGCCGTTCCCAAGAATCGGAGGTCCCCACACCGAACCGTTTCTGATTCCCCCGCCTTGCCTTTCGTCTCCCTATCCTCGCTCCTACCGTCGCAACTAGCTTCGAGTCGGAGATGTTTAACCGTGCTTCCATGAAGCTCGGGCTGGAGCAGGCTGTCCTGGGAGACGCCGCGGGCACTCTTAAGCCCCGCGACATGGAGGACCTCCTCAAGAAGGGGGCCTACGCCCTCACGCAGATGGACGAAGTCGACGCCATGAGGTACGGACGTCGAGACAAGATGTGCCTGCTGTTATTCTTGTTTGATGCTAGTGCCGGTCACAACGCCTTCGGATGTACATACCATTCGGTTTTGACGCTATGTAGTACCGGCCGGTGCCATGAGCCACGAGGCAACAACGCCTACGGATGGGTGCACACACCATTCGTTTTTCACTCTGGTACCAGTGCCATGAGGCAAAATCGCCTGCGGATTCACGTACGATTCGGTTTTGACGCTAGTAACGGATGTATTTATTCCATTCATATTCGGTTTTATGAAACACGCCCGCGACTTTGCATACCATTCATTTTTCGCGGTTTCATGAGACATGCGTGGGGATGTGCATTCCATTCGATTTTTACGCTATCAAGAACACCGGTGGACACGCCGCTGGCTTCCTCAACGGGGATAGTCCGCATCCCTCCCCAGCGTGAACGAAATACTGTCCCTTAATCCTGACGCGGACCCTCGAGGCGCGGTACGGAAAAGCATCGTCCCGAGCGCGTTGCACGAAGGAGTTGTGATTTGGGGTCGAATTTCTCGTACTATATATTCGCGCGGCGTCGACTGGTGCTTGTGCTTGCCGAAATCCTTGCCGCATTTTTTTTCCAGACTATCCCGCTATGCGGTGTGATGACCCGGCGTCTCCGTGGTGCCGAAAAATCTGTCAACCTTCTCACCCCCGCGCCTGCCCCCTGTCCCCGGTCGCAGGGAGTTCCAAAACATGGACATCGATGTCATCCTGGAGCGAAAGTCGCGCGTGCTCAAGGAGAAAGCGATCGCCAAGGTGCGCCCACGAGCAACATACGATGGTTGCGCCTGTGTTTGCGTGTAGCCATTGGCTGCATACCGTTTGCTGATTTTATCGGCTTTCATCTTTGTCTCCCTTTCTATCTCTCTCGGTGCTTGCGGCCTCTCTGCGAGGACAACGGTCATGGGGCGACTTCCGTTCGCTTCTCCCTCCGATCGCGAGGCGTACACGTGTCTTCCACAAGCCGGCCGCTACTCTTGCGTAGGACGCGCACATATTTGGGTACCCTTACTCTTGGTACAGTTGTACACAAGCGGTCAAAGTCCCCGTACCCCACCATACCGAGGGACCCGAACACTTTGATCTACAAGTCCTCTCTGAGGAACTTTCGTTCTCGAAGGCGCGCCACCCGTGAAGTCTATCCTCTCCAGCACCGACCAGTCGTCTCCAGGCAGAAGGCAGAACCCCCTAACGGCCCGGTTGCAGTCAGAGTTTAGCCTACCGACCGGGAGACTGGTGTGCATCGAGATGTTGTCTTGCATGGTCGCCAATGCCTCTCGTCAACTTCGGCAGCGCTTGCCCCTCCGCCGCCGCCGGCGCGTACCTTAACCGTTTGAACAGCCCTGCTTTTTCTTTGTTCTCTTGCGTAATATTTGTTATTGTTCTCTTGTTTTTCATGGTTGTTTTGTTTGCATTTTTGGTCCTCTTTTGGTTGTTTTTGCGCGTCAGGGCATTGCGGACGACAGCGATCAAGACGACGAAGAAGAGGACATGTAAGTCAGTAACAGCAGTTGAACCCGCACGCCTGAGTATCTTCGGTGCATCACACGTGTTCACCAGGTCACTCCCTCCGGAGCGCAGCCTGAAGCAAGCACCCCTTACCGTAGCTTTGCGGTACACAGATACATGGGTCATTGTGCCATGCGCGGCGTCCACCGGGACGTTATGTCGGCACTACCGGCTACTCCAAACCTGCCGCGTCCTCATGCGTTTTGCTCCCTCCCCCCATCCCCTGTCTCCTCCAGAGCAAACCATTGAACTCATGTGGACCATGCTTTTCGCTTTTTGTTCCCTCCTCACTGTCAATAAAATCGCAAATTGGTGTCTCAGCCAAGCGCCCCGTGGCGATCAGCACCGCGTGAAGTGGCGAAGCTTCGGCCCCTCGGGCGAAAAGACGGGGCCGTCTCTCGAGGACCCAGACTTCTGGCGGAAGGTGTGTTCGTGTGTTCGTGTGTTTGTCGTTCGTCGTGCGTCTTTTCCGCGTGCTTCGCTGTTCCAGGACTGGCGGAACGGTTGGAAAAGGCGTACGGTATAACCATGCCTGCGTTCGGTCTGGTTCTGTTGTCGGGTGACGAAACACGGGTGTGTGCGGGTGGAATGAACGTACGCCGTTGAGCGCATGGATAGTCCCGGCATCCTTCTCGCGTGTTTTTTTTTTGTCATTTTGTTTTGGTGTCGGGCGACGAGACACGGGTGTGTGGTTGGAATGGAATTGAACGCATGGGCTGCTGCCTGGTGTACCCGATGTAGGCGCTATATTGTGTGGGTCGTCGAGACGCCTTCGTCGAAGCTCCTTCTTGATTCCACTGCAGTAGGACGGTCTTACTGGGGTTGGATTGTTTAGCCGTTCGCCACGCTGCAGTCCCGCACAGCGCTCTTCCCGCGAGGTGTACGTATTTGTGAATTCGTTCGACTTTCACTGCAGCGTTGATTAGGAAATCGTCCCACGCGTTGGGAACTTGGTTCTTTGTGGCTCGGGTCTCACCCTTGTCTTCGTGGGACCTTTTCCATAAACGGCATCTCCAATACAAGCCTTTTTTGGTGTTTCCGTCATACCCTGTCGCGTCATTTGTCAGTTATTTGGCTGGACTTTGACTCACTTCCGTGTCAACCCGCACCCCTTCGTCAGCGGTATATTGCAACTAAGGCATGCACAACATGAGTACCCCCCCCGCCCCCACCTCCCTATAATTTTTTAGGTTATGCCGGACGTGATGACCCCGGACAGTATGGTGACAAAACTGGACACTTTCGAGGGCATGGCCGAGGATGCCGTCACCCAGGAGGACAAGGATGTGAGCTTGACTTTTGACTATTGAAGTGTTTCGACTCCATGGTATATTTTGTTAGTGCAGGCGGCGTCACCCGTGAAGACGAGGAGGATGTGAGTTCTGACTGTGTGTTTTGGTTCGACGACATCTCTGGTTAGCCAAGGCGGCGGCGGCGGCGGCGGCGGCTGCGCCGTTGTTGTGTCCATCTTCTCCCACAGCCGTGAATTTATTGTGGGTACTGGGTGGGTTCACGGCTCATCACTCTACCAACCATTACCCCTGATTTGTTGTTCGAGAATGGACTGCTTTGTCCGAGAGCGGCGCCTGAGTCAACAGACAAAAGAAAGTACCGTGAACAATGATCGACGGCCCCCCTCTCGATCCGGCGCGCTTCACAAAATGCAGGCGTTCATGAAGGACCTCGGGGTGATGGTCATGGGTCTGAGAAAGTCCAATGACGACGAGGGAGAGCGCGAGAAGGGCGTGCAGCTGCTCGTCCGCGTCACGTGCAAGCGGGAGTGGTTCTCGGAGGAGCAGTGCAGCAAGGCCAAGAAGTGGGAGCTGGAGCTGCAGGGCACTCGCCTGAGGCAGGCCACGCGGCAGGTTGGATATGCTTGGCGTACGCCGGTCCGGTTCTCTGCTTCTTTTTTTCTTGTCTTCAAGAAATAGTCATGCAATCACAGCAAGGCTGCCCTTTCGAGAAAATGCCACATTCGAAAGTGATGCATTGAAGAATTTTTCACTAGTTTTTGCAGTGAGTGTGAAATAACGATTTCACCTGCTGGGTATAGGGGCTTTCTGGGAATCTATGTTCGCCTGAATTTTGGAGAAACATGCCGTGTACCCTTCTTCTGCGTCAAAGACAAATTCATCACAGAAACCCTCGGTTGTGTTGCTATATGCCTTCTTTAGTTGTTCGGAGGGCGAATGCTGTTGACAGATGGAAAAAGCATGAAGGCTTTTTCTTGGGTGTTGAGCTTGAACAACTGTTGGTGAACTTCGTGGCCAAATGTGTGTCAATCGTTATTTTTTCGATTTAGTTCCACTTCGCCGTACTACCCGATTGTCGTTTCACTCGGTGTCATATGTATGTGGTTCTGCATCGTTTTCGTTCACTTTGTTCGCGACTTGATTTGCCAATCACTCCAGCGCATGTCATTACGCACCATTTCATTCCGTTTCACTTCCAGCCGGTGCTTCTACTACATGCCACTCTGTATCATACGTCATTCCGCTCAATTCCTGTCATTTCATTCCCTTCCAGTGCCAACCCCGTCCTACCACTCCCATGTCCATTTCACTGCTCTTCTGGTGTCATTCCGCACCATTTCGTTCATTTCATTCCGGTCTATTTCCGCCACGTTCTCCCGCTCCTTTTCCGTATTGTTCCGTCTCAGACGTCATTCCGCACGGTTTTCACTTATTTCTTTCCCTGTCGTGTATTTCTCCCGTTCCGTGGGTTTTGCCGTGCAGGACACCAAGGACGGCGACAAGGCCAGGGCCAAGGGCAGGCGTGGCGGCCGCGGCGCGAGGGTGAGAGAAAATTGCAGAATTAACAACTCGAATCCTGGCGTTTCTTGCTCCGTGAGGCAGACCCCCGTATCACAGCAAAAGCCTTAGCTCGCCTTCCCGCGTTGTGTTTTTTTCGAGACCAGCCTCACTCCGCCTGCACCCTACACACAGCGACGGTCGTTCGTGTGAACACTATTTGCCCCGAAAACATTTGTCGATATGATGTGTGCTGGACCACGTTCCAGCGGCCGATATTTCAAATACCGCGACCGATGAAAACGCCCCCCTTTTTGTGTTTTTCCGACCCCCGCAGGACGACGTGTTCGACGCAAAGCCCAAGATCAGCGCTACCCCCGGGGGAAGCGGCGGGAAGAGCGGCGGCAAGGGCGGCAACAAGGGCAGCGGCGGGCGCGACCACAACATGGACGTGTGCGCCCGCTGCGAGGACGGCGGCGTGACTATAATGTGCGACGGCCCTTGCCAGCGGTCGTTCCACCCGGCCTGCCTGGGCATGGACGACAACCCCGAGGAGGACCCGTGGATGTGCAACCGCTGCATGAACAAGGTTCAGAAGGTGTGTGTGTGTGTCGGTGTGTATTCGCTGTTCGAACAAGGTTCAAGACGGTGTGTCTGTGACGCCAGGTGTGTGGCCGATGTCTTATGAGGTTCGGAAGCACTGTGTGTGGGTGTAGCCGCTGTTCGAGCAAGGTTCGGAATGCGATTTTGTCACACATGTTCGACCATGGTTCAGAAGGCGTGTGTATCTCGTGTGTTTTTTTTGTTGGTAACATACATCGACCGCGCCACGTGACAGGCTGACGCGTGAAAATACGTCACTCTCGGTGCGACTGAAAATATCACAAAAAGGCTTCCAAAAGCCATGACCGTTGTGTATTGTTAGCATCGACCGCGCTCCATCACCGGCTGACCAATTCGGCTACGAAAAAACTTGGTTAGTGTCGACCGCGCCGTCTGTATGTTTTTTGATGTGTGAAACAGGGGACCGCTTTTTTTTTTCGCATTTCATTATGAATCCGGGGGCCGTTGTTTATTTATTTCTCTGTTCAGGAAACGTGTATTCGCGTGCAACAGCCGCTTTCGACCTGATTCGTTTAAAGCATGTGTTCATCATCATACTTTGTTCGCCACAAACCGACGTGCAAGTTTGGCTCGGGCGTTTGTGAACGAGCGTGTGAGTCCCAGATGAGAAACAGGGAGGTAGAAAACAAGGGGGATTCTTCAGAGCAGCCGTTGGAGCGACCAAGACGTGCGTATAGGTTATCCCCCCGCGAAAGCACGTGGGGGGACGCAGAACGGCCGTGTCTGGCGCTGGCGGGGTTGTCCCTTCCCGCATATCTGCGGAAGACACGGCCGTGCGTTGTTCTCACCCCGCGCTTTCGTGGGGGAAGCGTGCCGACGAGGCGGGATGCTTCACAGTCGTCACACGGTAGAATGATATCCATACCGACCGATTCTGGAGTGGACGAGGCCATCGCCTCACCTCGCCTCGCCTCGCCTCGCCTCGCCTCGCCCTCTCTCATCGTCGTTGCTTTATTTCGTTTTTTGTTTTTGTTGTGCTTTTTTGGCGTCTCGTGCGCTCGCAGTGCCTGGAGTGCGGCAAGAAGGGGTCGGAGATGGATTCGCACAACAGGGCGGTCAAGATTCCCGGCGGCGTGTCGAGGTGCCAGCTCAGCAGCTGCGGCCGGTACTACCACAAGGTAGGCACATGGCGAGACCCCTCCCCCCCCCCCTCCGGCAAGCTAGCGTCTGTTTTCTCCCCGTGTGGTATTTTTCGCAAGGCACGCGGCAGCATGCTGCTGCTCTAGGTTGGCTAGGTTGGGATTGTGATACGTTCTTGTGCCGTATTCTGTCGCTCTGTGGTTGGTGTGCCTCTGGGCCTCTTCAGAGCCCCCGTCAGCTCATCCGTTGCCCCCCGGCGGTCTTATGGCTTGCAAAGGAAAACGCTGGCTGCGTCCTGTGGTTATCTCTCTCGTCGTCGTCCTGCTCGGCGTGATGCTTGTTTTTGTCGGTTGTTTTCATTCTCTCTTTCTCATCCATCAGGTATCCCCGACTCCGAATGATACGCCAGGAGTGTGTAGACTTGGCGCCAGAATAAAATGCGACTAACTCACGCTTTTGCGCACCTCCGAAATGTCCGAAACCTCCCATGGTGTTCGTTGTTTCTCTCTCGTCCCGCGTGTCATATGGTTGACCAACTTGACGGACGACAGGAGTGCCTGGACAAGATCACCCCGAACCGCACGTCGTACTCGAAGGAAGGGAACTTCAAGTGTCCCCAGCACTTCTGCATCGACTGCGGGAAGACGTCTACCAACTTGGGACCCCGCACGCTCGTCAAGGTACGTCGTGTCGCTCGGTGGCATGGAATTCTTCCGGAGTTGAGTTGATTTCATTTGGTTGCTGCCGATTCTTCGTCCATTGTCGCTCTGTTTGTGTCCCCGCGTGGCTGTGTTGGTGAAGTGCCTGACATGATGCCCCCGCCTTCTTTCATGTGCTGGTGCTGCTGGTGCTGCCACCGTCCCGTCTATACATCGGGTGCTGCACGACAAAAAAAATTAACGGTTTCGCCGGGTGCACGGCGGACAACGTCGTGTTGAAAAAAAAAAAAAATCGTCGTACCTGGCACCGTCAACAACGACAGTGCCTCCGCTGCGCCAAGGCGCGCTGCCCGGACTGCCTCAAGACCGCCCGCTATGTGAAGAAGGGTAAGTGGATGGTCTGCTCGGACCACGAGTGGACTCCGCAGGACCTGGCCATGTTCGAGGAGCAGCAGAGGATTAAGAAGTCGGGGGCTGACAAGGGGAAGCGGAAGGTGTGTGCGGCGGAAGCGGCGGTGCGGCGGTGCGGGGGGTTGCCGTGGGGTGTTGTTTGCGTGGTTGTGGGGTAGGGAGTCGACGTTGGGGAGTGATGTTGGTTGTCATGCGTTGGAGTTGTCAGACGCGGGAGGGCCGGCGATGAGAGAGCAGAGCGTGCGTGACGAAGTGCGAAAGAGTGCTGCCTTCGTTCGTGGGTATGTATCGCCTCGTGGCATCATCGTGCTGCTGCTGCTGCTGCTGCTCTTCTTGGGCAGTTTTGTTGTTGTTACTACTCGGCCGTGCGCCGATGGAAGCGCCTCTAGCCAGCTAGGTCTTCGTGAGGTGCGTCCTCCTTGATGACGCTTACCTCTGAGTACCTCGTGAATGCTAACGCTGCGCTCTCTCTTGGTTGCTCTCAATGCCCCGCCGCCGCTGCCGCCGCCGCCGTTGCTGCTGCTGCTGCTGCTGGAACTGCCTGGCGGTCACCGCGTGGTTGTGTGACGAAACCAACCTGCAGCCGAAGGCGCCCCCGCAACCGACCATCCAATTCACGCCGGAGGAGGAGGAAGCCCAGCTGGACGTCCGAGCGCCGGTGTGCTACTTCTGCAAACGGGACAGGGACGACCCCAACTCGATCGAGGGTGCCTTCATCAGGGTGAGATATATCTTATGATGCTTGCCGCCACGGAACCCTTACGTTGCAGTGTCGAGCTATTGTAGCTAGCCTGTATGAAAATGATTTTTTCCATGAAACATGGCGACTCGCTCACCGGTGCCTTCGCCGCCACGCTACCTCGCGCGCAGCCTCCGTTCGTCCAGAGGACGATCAAGCACGGCGACTTCCCCATCTGGCTGCACAAGAACTGCATGCTCTACACCCCGGAGTGCTCGGTCGAGTACCCCGGCGGGGGGGGCAAGGGCAGCAGCGAGGGGGGGAAGAAGTCAGCACCGGCCAAGGACGAGCTCCCGTCGACGACCTCCTCCTCCTCCTCCTCCTCCTCCTCCGACGCAACCTCCTCAGCGAAGATCAAGGCAGAGACGTCATCCGGCAAAGGGACGTCGGCGGGGGCCAAGGCTGCCGCTGGGGACGGCGGCGCAAAGGCGAAGAAGAAGCCGCCCTCCGGCAAGCCGGTCTACTACGGCGTGGACGAGGCCCGCAAGAGGATCGGGCTCAAGTGCACCTCCTGCGGGAAGCAGGGGGCGCTGATACCGTGCCATGTCCAGTCGTGCTCCGTGACCACCCACTACGGGTGCGCGAGGAGGGAGGGGTGGAAGTTCGGCGGCCACGACTCGGACGGCAAGATCTTCCTGTGCGTGATGCACCGCAATGAGGGCCAGGTGCGATTCGAGCGGAAGGCGCCGGCGAAGAGGGGCCCCAGGAAGTCCGGTGAGTGTTGCTGCGCCAGTGGGGAGGTCGGATCGACGTACGTACGCGGGGGGCGGGGTGCCCGTGGTCGTGCATGCCGTAGTCGTTAGACCATTGACCTCGCTTCCCTGCGCAGCCGGGACGTACGCGGGCGGGGGGAAGGGATTGTCGATAAGGATGGCGACCACGCTGCACCCTACTTGTCGAAGAGACTCGGCACATATCGAGGGTGGAGTGACTGTACAATCGGTGCACACCCGGTGGCATGTATTTGGATTTGGCATGTACTTGGATTTGGACCACACTGCTGTGTCTCGGGCCCCGAACTGCAGTGGAAGAGTAAGCATTACTGCGGGTCGTTGCACTGCCCCCCCATCTGCCTCGTTCCTTGGCGACCCCCCACCGATCCCGCGTATATGCCTGCCTCCTCATCCCGTTTGTGTGTTTCTCTCGTCCGTTTTTTTTTTACCGTCTGGTCTGTTGTTTTTTTTTCCCGCCAGTCTCGAAGACCCCATCCAAGGGTAAAGGTGGCACTCCTTCCAAGGGCAAAGGCAAGGGAGGCGGCGGTGGCGACGGAGACAACAACTCCGAGCCTGCCTTGGACGGCGACGGCGACCTCAAGTCTCCCAAGGCCAAGAAGGCCCGCCGCTCTCCCTCGTCTGCTGCCGGAGGAGGCGCCGGCGGCGTTAAGGCGGAGTCTGGCGACTCGAAGAGGCCAGCTAGCGGCGGCGGTAAACGGGGGGGTGCCAGGAGGCCGCCGGTCCGCTTGGGGGAGGATGGGAAGCCGGTGGTGCAGTGCCCGTGCGGCGTGGCTGAGCTCGAGCCGCAGGTATGCGTTGGGTGTTGTTTATTTTAAGTGCACTGTATCCCGCTGTTGGTGATGCGCATGGTGTGTTGTTTTTCGCGATGTGTGTTGTTTGTGATGCATCCTCATGATTCGTGTCTCGCGGGCTGGGATTGGTCGTTGTTTTCGGTTGCTGCTGTGCGTGGTGGTGCCCATGCAGCAGCATAACGGATGATTCTGGAGTTTTCAGGGATGCGAGGGTATGGTGTAAGCAGGTGTTCAGCACCTTCCTGGTTCTATTGCGTGCTCATGAGTATCCCCCCCCCAGGGTCACTCCCCCGTCCCTGCCTTGATCCATCATCGCCGCTAACCCACCACAACTCTGTCAAAATTGTCCCGATTAGGGGACTTGCGTCAATGCTCTACTCTCACAACCTCAAGACGCGCGGACACTGTGGGTTGAACTTAACCAACGAACTCGAGCGCTGCTTACTCTCCTGCTCACGTTTCCCCTTGTTGTTTCTCTGCCCCACGTTGAACGACGTCTCCCTCGCTCTTCCTCTTCGGCAGGGCTACGTCCAGTGCGACAACTGCCAGGTCTGGCTACACCTGGAGTGCGCTGGCACCACCGCCGAGGACGTCGAGGACGCGGGTGGCTCCTTCTCCTGCCTGGACTGCGTGGAGGACGCCAACAGCAAGAGCCCAAACAACGGCGGGAAGCCCCCGCAAGCGAAGCAGAGGAAGGGATCCTTGGGAGGTGGGGCCAGCGGCGGCGGCGGCAGCCGGGGAGGGGCTGGACGAGAGTCGCTGCCTTCTTCGTCGGTGGCCGGCAGCGGCGGCGGCGGCGGCGGCAGCGGCCTGAAGGGGAAGGGGAAGAGCGGGCAGGATTCGAAGGGCGGGGACGCGGGGGGCAGGGGGGCCCCGCGGCGGACGTCTCTGGGAGAAGGGTGGGATAGGCTGGACGATCAGCAGAAGAGGTGGGTGTTTTTGTGTTTTGTCTCGGTTTGTGGTTTGCGCACGAATGATGCTGTCAATCGGAAGTGTGTGTGTTTGTGACCTCACAAAGCGATTGGTCTTCCGTGGCGCCTTCCGGCCAGTTTTTGTGTGTGTTGTTTTGCTAGTAGGTGAGGAATGGTATCTTTCTTTTGTGTGAACGATACGATCATGCTGGCGCCATGAGGTTCTAACACGCCTCCTTGCTTTGCCCTTGTTTTTTTTTTTTTTCTCGTGGTCTTGCACTCTCGGAACAGCCGTTGCGTGATGAAGGCGTTGGAGCTCCTGGCTAAGGAGGACCCCCTGAACTACTTCGCGGAACCGGTAGATATCTCCCTGGTACCTGGTTACCGGGACGTGGTACGTTTCATGGAGTGGGCGGACTCGCACCATGGGGTTTGCGGTGTCCACGTCACGTCATGCACATGTTTTTTTTGTTTTTTTTTGTTTTTTTTTTCCAAGTTTTGTTGTCAGACCCCGTGTTCGTGTGTGTGTGTTTTTTTTTTTTTTTTTTAGTATTTTGTTCATGGCACGATTTCTTGTGTGGTCTGTTCGATCTGTTCCATGGTCAATTTGTTGAACTGTTCGACGTCCTCGATCTAGATAGTGAGGCCGCTGCTGTGATTACATCCGTCCCCCTTTTTTTTTTTGGCGGGGTGGTGTGGAGCGAGTGTGTCTTGGGACTCATTACGCGGCCGTCGCGTGTTGTCTGGGCCACAACCACAGCACTGGTACTGCTTTGCGTCGTAGGAGTTCTGTGCGGCGGTGTTATAGGCCCGGGATTGGAGCTTACTCTTGCAGTGACGACAGCCAAAACTTCTCAATATTCGTCGGAGACAGGCATTAAGCCTCGTCTCCCCCTCGAAGAGAGGGCCGCCCCTTGTTTGATGTCGTTCATTTTTCGATGCGAACGAGCTCGGCCGGACTTTTGAGGTGGTGACGTGTCTATGACGATGCACGGCCGTGCTAATCTGAGCAAAGAGAGAGGGTTCTGTACTTTCACCTCGTTCGTGCATTCGCAAGCGAGAGTGCGGTGTTTTGGCCTGGTGTTGTGTGTGTCAGCACCGAGTCTCTGGTGGTCCACACCGTTTTTTTTTTTTTTTTGTGTTCACCGCGGCGAGGTATCGCTGGCTTTCCCCCAAGAAACGGGACGCTGGAAGTCCTTTGTCCCTCATTACCTCGCGCGGTTTTCGAACTTCGGTCTTGCACACGGTTTTTGTTTTGTTTTGAGCTTCGTCCTTTCGCCGACGGTGCGGGCCCCGTGGAGAGCGCGTGCAATCCGATGCTAGCCGTCGGTGCAAAATTTATTCATGTACCGCGGGGCGACAGCAAGGTGTGCGGCATGCGAAAACACCACGCTCAAGTAGCACAGCGGAAGGTTGCGTGTGTGTCCCCAGCCTCTGGTTCCAAGTTCGGACGATTGTTGTGTGTTGGTTAAACCCGGCAGGTGTCGAACCCGCTAGATTTCAGCACCATCAAGAAGCGTCAGAAGAAAGGTCGCTACGCCAAGCTGGGGTTCTCCGCCCTGCGGGAGGACATCAGCACCGTGTACCGGAACGCCCAACTTTACAACCAGGTGAGTTCCGCAAGGTCACCCTATCGCAAGCAGGTGGTAAGTGTCGAGGGTAACGTCGTGATGGAGATGACCATTTTCGTGTGGAACTCCCCGCCGTGTCGGGCGTTTTTGAAACGGTCGGCAAGGCCATATGGAGAGTTGTAGCTGTGTGTGCTCGGCGGTGCACTCCCCCCCCCCC